GCTGTTGAACTGTAATGAACTATTCAAAGCAGGGTCTGGTTGTTAGGCAAACCCTCAAATGATCTGCTCATAACAATCATTAGTGTTGTTTGTTAAAAAAGTTCAATGCTGTTTATATAGAGCCACAAATTCCACAGTTGATTATGATGGGTGGATGGGTATGTAAATGCTAAATACTTGTCATAGCTTGTTGAAGGTTAATTGTTTGAGTTCAGTGGAGTGTTTGAATAGTTTGTATCACTGGCTGATTTGATCGTTGAGACAGTTTTTAATTTGTGAGCAGCAGAAAGCACTGGCTTATAGATGGAGTTCTGATTCTTTTTGCAACACTTCCTTAATTTTAGCTTGAAGGCTATAGCCTTTCAAGCTAAAATTAAGGAAGTGTTGCAAAAGAAGGGGGATGTGCTCTCTGAGAACTGCTTTTGAAGTCTTACAAAGAAGAGACAGTTATTATATCTGGGAAGTGGTCCACTACCATCTTTAATGGTCATTTGTTTTCAAATCTTTGTCTATTCTAAGTATGCTGTTGAATAATATATCCATGTTTCGACGCAGTTGGTACTTCACATGGTCATCAGTTGTGTTTGGGCTGGGATGTCAGTGCACATATCAACGCTTGCTCTCAGAGACACGAGCAGCAGGCAAAATGTACGGAACAATGATCTAAGTCACATTCAGAAATGTGCTTCAAGAAGTTGTTTTGATGATCACCAGCTGGAGAACCATTATAACTCATTAATAGCCGATGTGTTGATCTGCACGTAATCCCCTTCTCAATGTATGTTAATGAAGGGGCCCATAATGATCCGGGGGGCGTAGCGACATTTTAAAGCGGCTGCACTTTATGTCATGGAGCATGAGGAGAAAGAGTGATCAGCTCTCTCGGTCCAAACATCTTGGTACACTTTAAGTGTTAGGATATGTTGCAATAAATATAATGTTATACACTGTAGTAGAAAAGGACTCCTCGAACTAGGTTAAAAAAAACAAGGCCTCACAAACTGTGGAATTAAGAGTGTCAAGGTTAAATGTAAATGAAGAGGCCACACTAGTAGGTTCAGGTAAACAAATATTCTCATGAAGTTAATGTGGTGCAAAGTTACGATAGGAAAGTGGACAAAAGGTCAAGTGTCGGTCAATGTAGTGCAGGGAAACGTGTACGGAAACGTATGCGAAAAAGGGTTACGATAAAGAATAGGGGAGGTGGTTTATTGTCCTCCACCTAGGTCAACCAATTAGCAACAAGAAGGCTTTAGCTATCAAATGCTATTACAACGTTTCTTTAGCAGTATGATCCTGGGGTTTGTTTGGACTTTGTTTTCTGTACTTGATAAAAAATAAAGTTATTTTGCATGGAACTCTGACCGCCTACAGCGCCTTCTGCTGAACCTGTTCGAATTTTACTGGTGCGAAATAAGTGAAAAAGTTCAAGTGTGGAGAAGGAGGTCCAACTGAATTCACTCGTTGGTACTACTACAGACAGCCAGGCTGCCTCTGGGTAAAAAGGTAACAAAATAAATAATAACTGCTTCCTCACACCTGTGGGTCACTGAGGCTGAGCTGACATGGTTCACTGAGCAACGGTCAGAGAATATCACCAACCGCTCTCTTCCTACATAGCACCTTAAATTAACTATCACAGTGCTTATGAACACTTTCATATGTGTATTCATGTTTAACAGTCTAATGCCAGCATAGAGTTTATATTCTAGAGCTGCAGAGATTAATGGATTATTTGATCAAGAGGAAGTTAATCTGCAATTAATTATCTAATTATTATGTTAGTTAAATATATTTGCAGCAGATATCTGTTCCATCGGCAGTCCCATGTTGGAGTGATGTGGGTGGCAGATGCACAGGGTGTCATTTTGTGCGCCCAGCATTAACTGGCCCATATGCGGAATCTGCTGCCAAGTTTCAATCAATTGGTCAATGTATTAAGTGATTCATTTGTTTTAATTAATATATTCAAGACTGATCTAGTCTTTAATGAAACTCAAAGCTGAGAAACATGCTACATCTCCTTTTTTGGAACGATTTATATTGTGGCAGAGTAAGGCTATATGAAATGAACATGAATATTAGAGCTTGATATTTTTTCTTGCCTCTCCCTTATCCAGTTCCCTTAAAGGTCAACATTGTCAGAAGAGTTTGTAATTAATCAACGGTGCAAATTCATGGGTGAAAGTTATCCAAAGTTGACTTCAACATGAAAGCATTTGTAAATTCACCGTTCACAGGGATTCTACGGCAATGAGTCCATGGATTCAGCCTGAAACTTGTGCAGGGTGAGAAAGGAGCAGGCTCTCAACTTCCTGCTCAAGATCCTTTTTGGTACTTCTCTCAATTTTCATATGAACCGGATGCTAAACCATGCCTTCAAAAAGGGTCTGTTTGAAAATGTGATACCATTATCCCTATGTTTGAAACGCATTTCGTTCCCTCACTCTCTATGACGGACAGCTTTTTCCTCTGCCTTGGTCTGACCATACATAACAACTATAAATAATTTGTTGTCTGACACGGCCCTGGCTAACCCCTTAAGGAGATCTTCCAATAAATGATAAGGATGGAAACAGGACAGATCAAAAATCATCGCATGTACGAAAAGACTGTCAACCAAAGAACAATTATGACAAGTGAACATGGCCCAAAATCTCATCTCATACAAGCACAATTCTGTAGTGTGTCTATAAATGTACCAAAGCAGCTCGGATGGTCGGACTCCATACCAGGTCATGTTGATAGTTCATAATAACTCTCACTGCCAGAAGGGGAGACAAAGCCCACAGTGTTGACATCTATAAAGCAAGTTAACCTAGACTCCTGCTCGATTTGAGAGCAGCCAGGCTGGGGGTGCAGAGAAGGATCAGGAGCCCTGCACTTTTGCTTTAAACAGGGCAGATGTGTGTAAATCCTTTAAAAGGGTTAACCCACACAAGGCTCCTGGACCTGATGGCATCCCTGGCCGTGTTCTCAGGGTGTGTGCAGTTCAGCTGGCAGAGGTGTTCACAGACATCTTCAACAGGTCCCTGCTGCAGTCTGTAGTCCCCACATGTTTGAAACACTCCACCATCGTTCCTCACCAGCCTCAATGACTACCGCCCAGTAGCACTCACCTCCATCATTATGAAGTGCTTTGAGCGGGTAGTCAAAACCTTCATCACCTCCTCCCTCCCTGACTCTCTGGACCCCCTGCAGTTTGCCTACAGAGCAAACAGGTCCACAGACGACGCCATAGCCCCCCCCCCCCTCCACACTGCCCTCTCACACCTGGACCAGAGGAACACATATGTGACAATGCTGTTCATTGATTACAGTTCAGCTTTCAACATCATTGTGCCCTCCAAGCTGGCCATCAAGCTCAGAGACCTCGGGCTCAACATCGCCCTCTGTGACTGGATCCTGAACTTCCTGACGGGCAGACCCCAGGCAGTGCGGGTGGGAAACATCACATCCTCCACCCTGATCCTTAACACCGGAGCCCCTCAAGGCTGCGTGCTCAGCCCTCTCCTCTACTCCCTGTTCACTCGCGACTGCATGGCCACACACAGCTCCAACACCATCGTGAAGTTTGCTGACGACACGACCGTCATCGGCCAGATCACAGACGGCGACGAGACGGCGTACAGAGAGGAGGTCGAAAACCTGACATCTTGGTGCCAGGATAACAACCTCCATCTCAACGTTAGCAAAACCAAGGAGCTGATGGTGGATTACAGGAAGCAGCAGAGAGAGGGCCACGCCCCCATCGCCATCAATGGGACTACGGTGGAGACCTGACATGGACTCTTCACACCACCACCATCACCAAAACAGCGGCTCTTCTTCCTCCGCAGGCTGAGGAGGTTCAACATGGACTCCAGGATACTCTGCTACTTCTACAGGTGCACCATAGAGAGGGTCCTGACCTTCTACAGGTGCACCATAGAGAGGATCCTGACTGGCTGCATCACGGCCTGGTACGGCAGCTCAACCCAGTCTCACGGCATTTCGTGTTATAGTCACGACATTTAATCTATTGATTCGTGTTCACCAACACGATTTTCCCCTTTTTTTCGTGTCACACAGAACAATTTTAAAAGCAATGTATTTCTATTGGTAGTATGTTTCGTGCCTGCAGCACGTCTTTTTGTCCGTTCGGGTCTTGGAAGACCAGAAGCTGTGGGGTTCATAAAAACATGTTCTTACTCAATATCAAGCCACGATTATTGTTTTTATTTTAAATCGTATGTCGGACTTTTTTTGTCGTCTGTGAGGAAAATAAATGGGGCTCAGAGCCTCAGAATACTGAAATCTGTATTTTTTTAAATCTTTTTTTCCTTCTAACTTGTTATTCTTTTCTACATAACACACTGTTATTTACTCACCAATAACACACAATTATCCTTGTTTTTATTTATTTGTTTAAATCCATAATCTCTGGCTTTTTTGGCGTCCGTCAGGAACTGAATTTCAAAATAAAAATAACCAGAAACAGACGTAGGCCTATAAGGGACATTTCGAGCATCATTGCTATACACAGCCTGAACTTTTTAATTAATAATAGATTATTTAAAGCTTTAACACAGTTGATTTGGCAAGTAAAGGTTGATTAAGTTGGCAACACCATACATAACAGGAAGTACCGATAATGTGGAAGTGCCATAGAGCAGGGGTTCCCAAACTTTTCAGCCTTGAATTATCATGGGGGGGAGTCCTCATGACCAGTAACACACAGCTGTGTTTGTTTGAATGCAATGCAGAATGCTGCATTGACAGTTGACATAGACAGTTTTGGAACTCCATATTCCTTTGGTCAAGTTACCATCAGCAGAATTAATGGTCGATGGATGATTGGTGTGTGTGTGTGTGTGTGTGTGTGTGTGTGTGTGTGTGTGTGTGTGTGTGTGTGTGTGTGTGTGTGTGTGTGTGTGTGTGTGTGTGTGTGTGTGTGTGTGTGTGTGTGTGTGTGTGTGTGTAGTTGTGTTTGAGATAGCTCCTGACATAGTGATACTCACCCACAGTATCACATGGCTCGTCTTTATGAACGCAGAAATCTGTCCTGAAAGAGAAATAAGAGCAGTTTAGATCATCTTAAATACTCAGGGGTGGGGAACCTCCGGCCTCCAGGCCGTATACGGACCGCGAGACCATTTGGTACGGCCCTCGAGGTAATTTATAAACACACGCAAAAAAGATTTTTCTTTTAGAAATCTAGACCGCAAAATAATTAAACAAGCGAGTGCCTGTTTTTCCTGGCCAAGGTCAGGGTCCTTGAACACAACACGAGCCTAACGTGTCATCACGTGGTATATGTCTCGTCTGACAGGGGTGCAGTTCTGACGGAGAGCACCAGAACGCCGCTCAAGGCCGGTGTAGGTACTGTCAACACAAAAAAAAAAGGCTTTGGCTGGCTGTTACATCAAATAAAATGCAACATGTATTTTCAACGTAATAATTTCATGTTTCCAAGATGATGTGATGAAAACATGTATGGTTTGCATGAATCGCAACAACTTCACATTTATTAGATTCATTCATGTTGAGATAAACTGAGACAAAGGGATTAGGGTATATCTGATTCCCACTCCAGAGCAGAAGGTATAACCACCAATAAACTGGATACCAACCACAGTCTATGACACCAACTAATGTAAACAGAGACAAAAATCAATCTACTTTTAAATGTTCACGGTTGTAAATATGTGAAACAACAAACACAGCTTGAACAATAAGGCATGCTACATTCTTGACTGCTCTTGGACACTTCCATGGATGTATTAAGAGAACTCTGCCAGACTCTGCACTGTTTGATTTTGACCGCGATCTGGCGGGAAAGGTTTTTCCCTGCATCCTGTGTGCACTCGCGATATTTGGGCGTAAACTTAACCATCATCATCGCGAGAGAGGATCATTGAGACAATAAAGACCGTTGGCGAAAGTTGGAGGAGGTAAGCAGAAAACATTGTCATCTAACTGGGAAGCTGTTAATAAATGTCATCAACTGCTAGTCCATGAGCGATATTGTGGTAACGTTGATAGTTAATTAGTTATTTAGTGTTATTTGTTATCTCACTTAAAAAGCCGAATGAGCCGACGAACATGCTAAAGCTAACGTCGTTAACTATCTAGTCTGTGTAACTGCCAGTTAGGGAGATGGTTCAAATATAGGATATCAGGATTGAAAACTAAATGACGGTAGCATTACCCTGGGAAAGTTAAACGGAAAGTGTGCTACCCCAGGCTCTTATATGTCAGTAATATCAGCCCCTTTTACAAAGGAATGTTGTGCCGTTATTCGGCTGCGTCACGTAAATTAGCTGCCAAGCTAGCTGCCATGCGGAGCTGACTGCCACTGTGGTTTTCGCTCTGCAATTAATGTTACGTGACGGGTGCCGCTCTGCCAGTGTCAGTAGTCGCTAGGGCTGTGCAATTTAATTGATCCCGCGATATATATCGATATTTTGTTTCCCGAGAAAGTATCGATATTTCAGCCGCGGGTATCGATACATTAAGTCCCATTCAAATCCCCCGTGTTCCGCCTGGCACTCTGCTCGCTGCCCATTCCCCCGTTCGCTTTGCATGAAGAGCGATTACGTCAGCCAGCCGAGCCGCTAGTGTCGCTGTAGAGCATTTCTAGATACACAGACGCCGGTGTCTTCTTCTCGCAGTGAGTGCGAAGCGGTATAGGAGAATGGCGGCAAACATTAACCCAGCACCTTCGTGCTTAAAAGCAGATGTGTGGGAGCACTTCGGCTTTAAAAAGAAGAAGGAAAGCGACAATTTAGATAAAACTATGGCGGTTTGCAAGCTGTGTCACACAAACGTGAAATACTCTGGAAATACCACAAACCTACGAACCCACCTACAACGTCACCACCCGGACAAGGTAATGCTAACTGAGGAACTCAAGAAGCTGCGGCCGCGGCGTGACCCAAAACAAACCGTGCTGGACAGCGATCGCGGTTGTTCCCACAAGTTCCCATCTACTTCACCAAGGTCGCAGAAGATTACAGAGTCCATTGCCTACTTTATTTGTCAGGATTTGAGACCTTATTCCGTGGTGAAAAACATAGGCTTTCGGCGCATGGTGAACGCGATGGAGCCCCGCTATCCTGTTCCAACCCGCCAACACCACACCAAGGTTTGCGTTCCCAGGCTGTATGCTCAGACAAAGGCACACGTCAAAGCCTCCCTGGGCAAAGCGGAGAGAGTTGCCCTGACGTGCGACGGGTGGACCTCGCGAACAACTGAAGCATATGTCACCATCACGGCCCACTTTATTAACGAGGAATGGGAGCTTGTTACGTATGTATTACAAACCAGGGACATGCCCGAGAGCCACACCGGACACAACCTGGCAGAACATCTAAGAAAGGCCCTCGCTGAGTGGGAAATCACAGAAAAGGATCCAGTAATTGTCACTGACAACGCGTCAAATATGACAATAGCAGCTGAGGAGGCAGCGTTCACACTTCACGTCAAATGCTACGCACACACCCTAAATCTGGCTGCACAACGTGCCCTCAAAATCACAGCAGTCGCACGCCTGTTGGGAAGAGTGAGACGCATTGTGAACTTCTTCAGACGAAGCACCACAGCCAACCACATGCTGAAAGAGAAACAGAGGCTTCTACAACTACCAGAGCACAAGCTGATGACGGACGTGGTTACAAGGTTTGTGCGTAGTTACTTTTCAATTGTTTATTTTGTTTTTATTACTAATTTATTTTGTCATTAATAAATACATTGAAATAAATCTATAAATAAAGTTTCTTACTTGTATTTAACTACAGGTGGAACAGTGCACACGACATGCTGGAAAGATTCCTTGAGCAACAACCGGCCATCTGCGCAGCCCTGCTCTCGAGTGAGGTGAGGAAGACCGAGAAGGATCTGTGCACACTGACTGAGTCAGACGTGACAACAGCTGAAGAAGTAGTCAGCGCGCTGAAGCCCATGAAGGAGGCTACACAGTACATGTCCAAGGAGAAGACCCCCACGCTGTCAGTCATCGCACCCCTCCAGGACACACTGATCAATGGACTGAAACCGATCGAAGGTGAATCTGCAGTCATAAAAGAGATGAAGGCTGCCATGTCTGGGGATCTTCAGAAGAGGTACATCGACCTCAGGGCAACTCTCCATGCATGTTCAGCAATGGATCCAAGATTCAAAAGTCTTCCCTTCCTGACTGAGAACCAAAGACAGGAAGTTTATGATGGACTGATTGCAGAGGCTCAGGATCAGCCAATGCCATCAGAGGTAAGGCAATGATGGTACTGCTAGGTTTAACCCTTGGCCTTGTATCCTATGTAACATCTCCTGGTGAGAGTAAGCATAGGCCTAAATAATACATTGTTCAAAGTTTAAAAGGCAAATCCTTCAACGTTAACTGTTTAAAATGCATAAATATTAAATTGTTTAAAAAGCATAAATCCTACAACGTTAACTATTTAAAATGCATAAATATTAAATTGTTTCAAAAGCATAAATACTATAATGTTAACAGTTTTAAAGGCATAGATTTTAAATACAATAATTAAAAGATTTATTACAGTGAAAGCTCATGAATTTCATTTCATGTTGACCTATTTCATTTAGTTGTCCCTTTGGAGTGTGGTCGAAGAGGGCACAGGAAAATGTAATGGTAGCGCTGATGATGAGGGGATGGCATCCGAAGAAGAGACTGTAGATGATGGTGTGCGATTCAAGGAAGGAGAGACCAGTCAAGGTCAGTATCACCCATTGTTATCCAGTGAAGCACACTGTGTTGTCTGAACCTCTGAGTAGGAATTATGGAATGTGATTAACTATAAATAATGTGTTTTTGTTTTTATTGTTTATTTATTTGAAGGTCAGCATCCTCTACCCAGGAATCCAAAGCCGTCTTGTCCACTGGCTGCTAGGGCTGTGCATCTTCACTGGTCTCACGATTCGATTCGATTACGATTATCCTGTCAACGATTCGATTCAATTCGATATCCCGATGCATCCCGATGCATCCCAATGCATCACGATTCATACCAATGCGTTGCATCCTCAATTTTCTATATTACTGCACATGGCTGATTTTTTATCAATGCATACATGCAGTAAATACATATTAACTCTCTTTTTATTATTTAGAAAGTGCTTCAGAAATCTATAACATAAATGTCTTGACATTAATTTATAAACCAAAATAAATCAATTGTATAGGTCTAGCCTCCCTATATCTGTGTGTGAAGTTGTTCCATCCTCAAAAACAAAAAAATAATGCTTCTGCAGTCTAGCTGCAGCTTCTAGCAACGGTCTTCTGTTAAAAAAAGGACACTGAATGTCCTGAATGTGGCATCACACACAGGACTTGAGTCTGAACACAGCAGACAACAGGAGTATTTACAACAGCATATAACAACAAAAATACTGCATGTGGGTGCACACTTACATTCTCTGTCTTACTGTTACATAAATCCCATGAATGTATGAGATTAAGTTAGCTTCATTATATCTCAGTGATTAAGGGAATAATAAAGTTTCTATCGGGTCACTATCAGCCTGTCACTCATTATTTTCAGGGAGGGGGCGGGGTTTGGAGGAACGGAGAGGAGACGGTGATCGCGGAAGCTTTTTTCCTCCTGCCTTCACAAACTTTACACACGTATATATCGTCTGAAAATTGCTAGAGGACATTCATACTTTGCAATCCAAGACTTAATTAAATTAAGAGTGATTCAGAGCGGGTCCTTCTGCTGTTGGTTCTGGACTGGTGGTGTTGTGTTGGTGGATAAAACAGACTGCTCCGTGTTTGGTGTTGCTGTGCCGTTGTCACGTCTGTTCCCTGATCTCTGCGTCACCGACCGATTTGATATTAAAGTGACAGAAAAAAAAACGTTATAGTAAAGCCGCGGCCGGAAAATCAGGAAGCAACGTTACTAGACCTACGCTATAACCGATTATCTTCCGTCACTGCATCGATACCGAATCGTCCACGTCCGCTTTGCAATGCATCATAGAAACGATTATTTTCAACACCCCTACTGGCTGCCCTTCTTGGTGGTGAACGATACAGTGGTGGAG